TAAGACGCATTTCTAAGTTCTTTGAAACTGCAATGTTAATTAGGTATCGAAATGTAATCGCATCCATAACAGGAGAATAAGTTTCTTCATAATCAACTCATGGTCTCTGTGAGAAACCTTGTGCTACAAGGCGAGCTTTATATCTAGCACTTTCATTGTGCTCATTTCTTTTGCATACAAATACCCATTTACATCCAATAGGAGTAACCTCTTTCGGTTTAATATATGTCCGAATACATTTCGCTTATTCAGCGAATCCAATTCAGCCTGTATTGCATCTCTCCATTTATTCCAATATGGTCTCTTTTGACACTCCGAAATGGATCTTGGTTTTGGATCCTCATTTTCATCAATTTTCTTTGATACATTATAGGAGAATATATCATCAATTTCTTTGATTTCTTTTCGACTCCATAATGTACCATTGTTTATATAATTAATTGAGATCTTATGATTTTCATTGTCTGTATTTATACCATCATCATAAAGTACTTCATTTCTTTGGTTTGGAACGCGTTCCTCCGAATCAAGCATTTCATTTTTCTTGGCTTTGCTCTTTCGGGAATTTTTATCCTTAGAACCAATAGGTCGTCCACGCTTCAGGTGTGCTTTGGAATCGTTTATTACATTTTCTTTCATTTGTTCTTTCGGAATTTCGATTCGAGTTGGGACATTCACAGCATCTATATATGATCTTGTTACCTTGGTTGTATCTGCAAAAGAATCAGGTAACTGATTTGCAATATTTTGTAAATGTATGATCCTCTAAACTTCTAGTTCTCGTTGTTTTGCTGGGGGATCAAGATGTGACAATGATGGTGTACACCAATTAAGATCATTTTTATTTTCCACCATTCTATCATTTTCTCCCCCTAATGGTGGGAATTCATTCTCATTAAATTGACAATCAGCAAAACGAGCCGTAAAAATATCTCCAATTTTTGGCTCAAGGTATCGTATAATGGATGGTGAGTCATACCCAACATATATTCTCAGCCTTCTTTGTGGTCTCATTTTTGTACGGTGTGGTGGGAAAATCGGTACATATACTACGCATCCGAATATTCTGAGATGCGATACATTAGGTTCTTGACCAAATGCTAATTGCAATGGAGAATACTTGTGATATCCACTTGGTCTAATACGAATCAATGTTGCAGCATGCAAAATAGCATGACCCATACAGAAATGGGAAGTTTCGTTTTCATTATCAATGGTCTAGTAATAAGCTGAAGTCGTTTGATTAATGACTTTGCCAATCCATTTTGTGTATGAACGTGTGCAACTGGGTGTTCAACATCAATACTCATTGCTACACAGTAATCATTAAAAGCTTGCGATGTAAATTCTCCAGCATTATCAAACCTCACTTTCCTGATTGAGTATTCCGGGAACTGAGCCCTTAATTTAATTATTTGGGCTAAAAATTGGGCAAATGTCAGATTGCGTGATGATAAAAGACATACATGCGACCATCTGCTTGAAACATCAATTAATACCATAAAATATTGTAATGGTCCGCATGGTGGATGAATAGGACCACAAATATCACCATGAATCCTTTCTAGAAATGATGGTAATTCATGCCCGATTTTAGCTTGTGATGTTCTGATTATTAATTTTCCTCTAGAACATGCATCACAAGGAAACTCATCTGATTGAAAAATCTTCTGGTTTTTCAATGGGTGACCATGGGAGTTTTCGATAATCTTTTTCATCATAGTGTCACCAGGATGACCCAATCGATCATGTCAAACTTTGAACATATCGGTAAACTTCTGGTTTACTGTGGCATATGATTCAATCACATTGATATTAGTATAATATAATCCCGATGATAGATTGGTAATTTTTCCAACACATATTTTTGTCCCATATTGATTGAGGTGATACACAGATACTCAATATCACCTTCATTTGTGGTTTCAATATGATATCCATTGAGTCGGATATCTTTAAAACTTAATAGATTTCTTTGGGACTTGGAGGAAAATAGTGCATCTTTTATTGCAAATTTTGTTCCTCCTGACATTATGAAATCGGCTCTTCCGGAGCCTTCAATTATTTTTGCATTTCCAGATATAGTAATGATATTTTCTTTGTTTATTTTCAGACTCGAAAAATATTTCTTGTCTGTCAGTATTGTATATGTTGTAGCACTATCTGCTAAACATATATTTCCTCCTCGATTTGCAGATTTAGCCATATTCATTATCTATTCAAGAACAAAACAACATAGTAAACATTAAAATATATATATATCAATTATAACATTTACAAAATGTATATGTATTATGACATTATGCATATATAGATTCTTACGAGGTTGATTACATATATAAACGATACAACTATATATATGGCTTTTTATTCATAATCAACGCCCTCTTCATGATGAGCAAAACCATCAGCGAGGTCCATGTGTGCAAAATCTATAGCACCACCAGCATCATCATCCGAATTGTTTATGACATGATTTGTCGCGACACCTTTCCCTTTCGCTTCTTTAATCGATTTTTGGTAAAGGTCCACCAAGTGTTTAGCGGTGCGACAAGTACGTGACCAATGTCCAGTCATTCCACACTGGTGGCATGTGCTTTCTTTCATCCTTTTGTTTGGATGATCATGTGTTCCCCCTCTATTATTGTTATGGTTTTGGAATGAGATTCCTCGACCACCCCCTCTATTCCAACTTCGGCTAACGCCACGACCTCATCTTCGGCCTCGACCTCGACCTCGACCTCTACCCCGAAAATAACCACGTCCTCGGTTATTATAAAATATAACATTCTCTCCAAGGAATGATATATTTTCCATAACATTTACTTCGGAAAATGGTACAGGACCTGTTGGCCGAGATGCATGATTTTTCATCAGTAATTCATTATTCTGCTCGGCCAATAGAATACATGAGAGAAACTCTGAGTATTTTGTATGCCTCTTTTCCCGATACTGTTGTTGGAGTATAATGTTCGAGGCATGCATAGTTGAAAAGGTTTTTTCCAACATCTCATTTTCGCTAACTGTTGCACCACATAATTTCAAAACTGATGTGATTCGGTACATTGCCGAGTTATATTCATTGACAGTTTTGAAATCTTGAAATCTGAGATGAATCCACTCATATTTGGCCTTGGGAAGGATTACCGTTTTTTGATGATCGAAACGGTCTTTTAATTTTTTCCAAAGATCTGCAGGATCTTTGATTGTCAAATATTTCTTTTTCAAATCATCATGAATATGATGCCTCAATAATATTAGTGTCTTTGCTTTATTTTCAGTTGACGCACTTTTCTCTTTAATTGTGGTACTAAGACCTTTTGATTCCAAGTGCAAATCAGCATCCAATTGCCACGATAGATAATTTTTTTCCAATATGTCGAGGACCTCAAACTCGATATTGGTCATTCTTGCCATTTTGACTAAACAAAAAAAAAGCAAGCCATATATTAGCTTTATTCATTATCATAGAGTATACAACATAGCGAAATGCATGATTACATATGGATGGCTATAATTAGTAACACATACACGAGAGGTAAGACCACAACGCAAATTGAAAACAAAAATGGGTCGGGATTTTTATCGAAAAAAATACTAAACGTTGCTACTACAATTGTTAGAACAAAGAAAATTTTAATAAAATTCATTTTGGGAGATTGTTTTTCGTAGGAGAAGAGAAGAAAAAGATGAGATTGTGTGAGTTGTATGAGTGAATAAATGAGTGTATTTATAGGGTAAAAATTACTATTCATAGCCGTTGGGGAGGAGTCAAAAATTTGAAATTTGATTTTTTTTAAAAAAAAATTTCACCGTTGGGGAAAAAAATAAATTTTGAAAAATTTTGTAATTGATTTTATCAATTTGTATTATATAACAATTTTTATTATGTATATTGAATTGTTAATTTTTTTTATCATTTCATTGTATTTATTATAATTTAATATTTTGATAAATATTTATTCATGTCGGTACGTGACATTGTTACACCAGATCCATGCTTGTATTATTTCAACAAGCCTTTGCCCCAATAGAGTGCAGGTTCGGGTTTCCAGCCTATATACCAAAATTTTCGATATCTTTTTTTTTATTCATGCAAATAAATACTGATTAAATTTATATTATATATGATAATATTTAAAAATGATGAGTATTTATTTATATAGGGTAGATAATAATATAAATGATTATATCTGGCGGCATTGCCGTCCATAGAAATAAAACAATTCAGGCGGCATGACCATCCATAAATAACACAGTATTTCAGATTAATAATTAAGGCGGCTCAACCGTCCAACAATAACAAATAAATGATTAAGGCGGCTCAGCCGTCCAACGGTAACAAATAAATAAATAAGGCGGTCCAACCGTCCAATAGTAATAAATAATTAAGGCGGCTCAGCTGTCCAATAGTAATAAGTAAATAATTAATGCGGCATAGCTGTCCATTAATTTAAATAATAATTAATTGATATTTATATATAACTTGAGGTTAATTCAACTCAAGCATCAATTAATGTGTGTATATATCATTAGAGCGAATATATAATGTTACCTTTGTCGTATAAGAGCGTTCGTACTGATAACGTGTTGTGAAAAACGAAGAAATATAGAAGACCCGGGAATCAGGTCGTTAACTAGAAACCGAAATCGATCGTTTGAGAGATTTGGGAACAAGATTTCACTAATTTTTCTTTCTTGAAATTGTGTACAAATGAAGGAATGAAATAGCCTATTTATAGAAAATTCGCAATTACTATTCATCTATTCATCTATACAACAGTATCCGTCGGCTGAACAGTAACCGTGGGTTCCACCATTTATTTATAACAGTTTTAATATTTTTTCAGCCTTTTTCAAATTTTTTTGAAAACTCTAAAATTTCAAAGGTATCTCTTGTCACATTTAAAGGTATTTTTGTAATATACATGAATGGTCTTCACCATTCCGCTTACAAACAGATCAGACATAACACAACCACTTCTGCAGAAGATCTTACATATAAATGTGGAGCAACCACCAATCCAAATTGTTTTCTACATATATATAAATATCAGTCACACAACATCATCATAAACCAGACCAGATATGTACAAACCAGACTTATTCCCCAATATGTGAAATCACAAATCATAGCAGTACCCTTCACACTTACACTCCAATGGTTCATATCTTGTCGACCTTGTCGGCCTTCACCACAGGGTTCGCCTTGGCAATGGCGTCTTGTCCCGCGCTCTTGTAATCGAACACGCAGTTGTGCTTGTCCGAATAGCGATGCTGCGAACAGAATGTGTGCCCGCATCTGCACTTGAACCCAGTCAGCCCTACCCTCTTCCTACACAAGCTGCACCTGTTTGGCTTCTCAGAATTCTCTCCTTCCCAAATTCTACCTGTTTCTCGGTAACCTAGTGGTTCGTTGTTCTCGGGCTTTTTTCCAGTAGTTTGATCAATGCCCTTTTCTTTTCCAACGACAACAGTGTTGTCATCTATGGCTTTGGATTGATTGAGAAGAAACTCTCTGTAGCACTTGGAGCAGAGGTTGTTCGTGTTCGGACCACCGAAGAAACCGCAGTTATTAGCGCAAAGAATTGGAGCCGTTTGGGATTCGTGGCTGGTCTCCTCCAGCTTCCTCTTCTGAGATTCTGGCTCCATTCTTATTCTATATTCGACTAAATTTCAACACCCAGATCCCCGAAACCCCATAACAACTCCCTATGAAAGCCAAAAACATAAGCCCAGAACACTGGATTCGGATTTCGGCGTCAATCAAGCATCGGACTTTCTCAATATCGGATTAAGCCCACGAACCACAACACGAATTCCGACGAAAACAAGAGGTTACGAACCTAAAAACACAGATTCGACCCTAAAACCCCATGATAGAAAACCCTAACTGTAAACCGACCCAACAAACAGATAATAGAAATCTCACGATACCTTAGTTAACTCGAGGAATCGAGAGATCAAGAGCTGGAGAGATCTGAACTGAACGGCTGGAATTTGGGCGTGAAATGAACCAGATTTATCGCGAAGGAACAGCCGTGGGAACACGGAGTTTAAAAAAAAAAAAAAAAGCCGTCTCGAAGGGGGAAGGAAAAAAAAATGACGACATTTGCAAAGAAAAAGAGTTCCTTTTCGTGTGTGGTTTCGTCAGCTGAGGATTCGGTTCGATGCACACGTGTGCACCGTGTAAGACTGCCTTCAAGGCTTACGTGGAATTTATTAAATCAATTAATTCTCGTGGACCAATATTAATTGGGCTTTAAGAAGCCCACATAAATCCCATCAAATACTAAAGCAAGAATTGAACCATTTCATGTCAAAAGTAGACCTTCAAAAAAGAGTCCTTTCATATACATATATATAAGCATCCAAAATACGGTTAATGGGCCTTTTTGGGCCAATGGGCTTTCTCAAATCATGTGGGGCTATCTAAACCGTCGTAATGGATCTACTTGTAAGACCCAATTGCCACAGCAACCACGTGATATACCGGAGAGCACGTGAGCACCATCTCTCTCAAACTCCTCAACAAATTGACAAATATAATGTTTAATTAATTAACGCACATTTAAGTACCGAACTTTAATATAGATAAAAAAGACAAAAACTTACAAATAAAGAAATGATAAGCTACGAGGACATGAAAAGGAGTGACCCGCTTGCTCCGCCGCCGAGTCCGAGGGAGACTCTCCACGTGATTCCCTCGTGGTCTGCACGTTCCTCAGCCTCACCTCAACGTCATACAATAATCATATTATTATAAGTGAACAAAGTTATAATAATAGTAACAATAATCCTAATCCTTGAAAACAATTAATTTAATCTAATTAATGCTATCATTATTTTTATACAAAAATTAGAAAACCCTGAAACCGTGGAAGTGCCATATCATTCAATTTCTAAAGAAAGACGTCTTATCGAATATAAGGAGTGTCATGTAATTCAATGATATATATTATATATATATTAGCCCGTATTCTTTGCTCTTAGCTGTATACACGAGCTTATTGGCATTTGTCGCACTTCTACCGTACAGTGGTTTCTTATTTTATGTTTTTTATTATTATAATAACAGTGGACAACTTCGCACGTGCGCCCATTTTGTACGTGGGAAAGAAGCCTCGAGAAAGAAACTACGGTTAGATTGGGTTCATCTTAGATCCCGACACAGAGCTATGCATGGACGGGATGGCCGCATACGTGTGCGTATACAGGGTCCCCCCATTTTGTGGATCTCGTACACGGGCAGGGCAATTCTCGACGTGTACTTTATTTAGTCACGTACAAAAATCCAAGTTGCATGGACCGTTTTGTCCACGGATCGTAGATATTACGCCGCGTCATTAAAGCTCGAAATGAAATGAAATTCATGCATAATTATAGGCATTGACTAACTTGGTTTGGCATTTATAACTAAGTGTGGAGTTATAACAAAGATACACGCACCCTATAGTTAAATAACACTTAATCAAGTGATTATTGCGTAATCCCAAAATCACTGACAAGCTGGCAGAAACCTTAACAACACAGATAGATGGAGATAATATCTAAGAAAAAATATTGTAATCAATAAATGGGAAAGTGACGGGAAGGAGACTGAAGGATGACTCACACGTGGGAGATGTGTCAAAATCCGACAAGAACAGCTATCGGTAGGTCCCACATGTTCCCCTTCCTATCCCCTCTGCCATATATTTACATGTATAATATCTATCCATGAAATTTGTTTGCAAAATTTTCCTACGTCTCAATCTTGTAAATTTCCCATCTTTAGATATGGTTCTATTTTTTATTATTTCAACGAAACAATTAGTGGTATTTTAGCAATTCATTTACCTTTAAACATCAATATCGCAATCTTTTTTTTAAATCATTTTATACTAATGTCAATATCAAGGCATCATTGGATGATTACATGCTAATATTTATTGAGTTTGTGCCTAACCCCATACGAAACCTTTATTTATTTATTTATTTTGCTCTGAAGTCACATTAAAAGCATAAACTCGTGATTTTTTTTGTTCGTTTGGGTCATAGCGAGAACCAAAAAAAAAGAGGAGCACGTGAGGTGCACGTGACCCTGTGTAAGAAGACCCGGCAGTAGATTTTGTTGTTGTGTTGATGTTCGGTGTGTTGTTGTGTAGCTGCAGAGCCTCAGCAACATCAACCTCTCACAGCCCTCTGTTTTAATTTCAGGAGAGACTGCTCCATTTCTCAACATCTACACACACACACACACATATGTATACACATGTATGGGTGAGTCGCATTGATTGAGGTGGGGGGGGTGGGGTGAGAAACATGGTCCTCCTCCTCGACACTCTTCAGAGGGGCCACGTGGCACACACCCATAAAACAACAACATTGGCCCTTCTTCTTCTTCTTCCAAACCTTTTGTCTGAATTCTATCTTTCAAGACTTCTTCGCTTCGCTAATCATCACATCCACTGTTGTCCAAATGCAAATGAGAAAGAACGGTGGAAAATTAAATTTAACAGAAAAAAAAAAGCATCACAAATCCAAAAAAGCTGTATATTTACACATTCCGAGCGAAGCTCTTCTCCTTTTTCCCCTCACTGATAAAAGAAACTAAAAAACATCCTTTTTTTTTTACGTATAAATAACAGAGATACATACATTTTGAAGGGCGGGAAAAAATGAAAAAAAAAAAGAAGGAAAATTTGCTCGACCCCCGTGGATGGCTTCTTCTTCTTCTCCTCCTCCTCCTCCCGGTTCTTTGTCCAAAGAATCTGTTGTCTGTTCGAAAACTGAGTTCCAGAGGTTTTCCTCTTGTTCTTTTTAATTATAGCTTCCCTTCAGGAACTTCTTTAATGCTCATATCCACCATCTCGATCGAACTGAACCCACCGTCCTCTGTAGTGATCGTGGACTGTGAATCCAGGCCACACCCTGCTTGTATCTCCTTGAACATGGCCATCACCTGTATCATCGTCGGTCTTCTCCATGGCCGATCATCCAAGCATGCACACGCCACTTTCAGATGCTGCAGAAGCTCCATCTCCAGCCCTGGATCTTCCTTCATCACTTCCGGATCGAACACGTCGCTTATTCTCAGTTTCGCGTGCTGTTTCACCCACCCGACCAGGTTGTTGTCCCCAAAATCCGCAGAATCCGTCGGCCTCTTCCCCGTCAGAAGCTCGAGCAGAACTACACCGTAACTGTACACATCTCCTTTCGTCGAGCACCTGAAGCTCTGGTAATACTCTGGAGGAACGTACCCTGGCGTGCCAGCCAATGTGCTCACGCTCAGATGCGTGTCCATGGCGCTCATCAGACGGGCCATACCGAAATCCGAAACCCTAGCCTCCAAGTTATCGTCCAGCAACACGTTGCTCGATTTCATGTCTCTGTGGATGATGTGAGGAATGCAGTTGTGGTGGAGAAATGCCAATCCTCTGGCTGCTCCGATAGCGATCTTCCGCCTCGCTTCCCAGTTCAGTTTCACGCCGGCTTTCTTCGGGTCATGCAAAACATCTTCCAAGCTTCCGTATTTCATGTACTCGTAGACGAGTAGCCTCTCTTCCTTGACCTTGCAGTAACCTAGGAGAGGTACGAGGTTTCTGTGTTTGATCTTTCCTATTGTCTCCATCTCGGCCGTGAACTCTCTGTCCCCTTGTCCGCTCACGTGGATGAGTTTCTTGATAGCCACAATGCTTCCATCTTTCAGCTGCGCCTTGTATACATCTCCGAATCCTCCTGAGCCAATGAGGCTGTCGTTGTGGAAACCATTCGTAGCTTCTAGAAGATCCGCGAACGTGAGCTTCCTCAAGGGTTTCTCAAAAGCAGCAAGATTGATGCTCAGTGCTTCTCGAGCGCCGGTCAGTTTCCAGCTCGTGTTGGCTGTCCCCGAGTTCGAATGGCCGCCCTCCATGTACATTTCGAGAGCCGCCTCTTTCTTTTTCCGTCTCTTCCTCATCTCTATCCCGACGAGGATCAGCCCGAAAATGCAGAAAAATGAGAGGAGCAAACCCATAGCCACGCTTCCTGTCAGAGAAGCTCGTCCCCTGTGCGACTTCTGATGACGAGAATTCGCACCAGAATCCCCTGCATCGCAACGTGGGAGCGGGTAACCGCAGAGACCAGAGTTGTTCATGAACTTGGCGGGCGGGAAAGTCTCGAGCTGACCCATCTCGGGTATCTGTCCTGACAACATGTTGTTGGAGAGATCGATCTCCGTGAGCATTGTGAGGGCCGACATAGACTGAGGAATGGTTCCTTTCAGCTCATTACTGGAGAGATCAAGAATGTTCAACCCTCTCAAATCGCCAATCTCCTCAGGAATAGAACCCGAAAGACCGTTGTGACCGAGGTTCAGGATAAACAAGTAGGGCATCGACCCGATCTCCTTGGGTATGAATCCGGACAACATGTTGTAAGACATGTCGAGGAACATCATGGAGCCGTTGTTGTTGAACGTAGGTTGAGTGTGTCCGCCATAAACTCGGGTGAAGTTACAAGGGTTTCTGGCCGAAAGCCTGTTGAGCTGTTCGGGTCTAATCCCTTGGAACTCGAGCAAGTTTCCAGCTCCGTGACACTGCTTCTTGCTACCGTCGTTCTTGATGTAAACATACCGCTTTCCGGCGATGAAATTCGCGGCGATTTTCCCAGACTGCTTGAACATCTCAGGGGGAATAGAACCGTTGAAGAAATTTGTGTTGAGATCCAACCAGATCAAACTACGGCAATCACCCAGCTCTGCCGGGATGTTCCCGTAGAAAGAGTTGTTGCTGAGCTTGAGGATGGCGAGATTCTCTAACCGGCCTATCCAACTAGGAATCTGACCGGTTAACCGGTTGTTGGACAAGGAAATCCAGTTCAGATTCGTGCAATTGCTTAGACCGGAAGGAATCTCCCCTGTCAAGTCGTTGAAGTCGAGAATCAGGGTCTCTAGCGTTTGGATGTACATCAGCTCCTGCGGGATCTCTCCTTCCAGTAGATTCAGCCATAGCTTCAAATCTCGAAGCTTCGACAGAGAGCCTAAGCTTGCAGGGATTGATCCGGTTAGGTAGTTCAAGCTCAGGTGAAGCGACACGAGCTCAGAACAGTTGCTCAGCGTCGCAGGAATTTGCCCAGTCAAGCCATTGTTCTGGAGATAAAGCTCGTTCAACGCATTCCTAGGGTTTTGGCACAGATTGGTCGGTATCGGACCCGATAAGTTGTTGGAGCTAAGGTCTAGTGTCTGCAGAGAAGCGGCGAGATTCGACAGAGATTCCGGCAAGACCCCGGAGAACTCGTTGAAAGACAGATCAAGTACCTTCAAGCCATTCATTTTCAGAAGAGTATCCATGGGCAACTCGCCGGAGAAGTTGTTGCTCGACAGCTCAAGCGTTTCGAGGAGAGAGCAAGAACCCAGGAAAGAGGGTACAGTACCGTAGAGGTCGTTGCCGGAGAGATCGAGTCCAGCGAGTGTTGGGCACGCGCCGGCGAGGAACCCCGGGATCTCGCCGCTGAATCTGTTTCCGGCGAGCGAGAGGTACTGGAGGTTGTCCAGCGGCAGAGAAGGGATGGATCCAGAGAACTGGTTGTTGGTAAGATTCAGGAACCTGAGCTCCGTGCAAGACGAGATTGCGCGCGAGATGTTGCCGGAAAACTTGTTGTCGGAGATGTCGAGGTGTTGCAGAGCCGAGCAGTCGCCGAGAGAAGGGAGGCCGGAGGAGAAATTGTTCCGTGAAACATCGAAGAACTCCAGATTTCCGCAGCGGGACACGTCTATGTCACCGCTGAGCGAGTTCCCGCTAATCGACAAGCTCTTCATCTCTCCGCAGCCGCCGGAGAGGACCCAACCGACCACGTTCGGGCCAGACAGCGAGTTGGAGGAGAGATCGAGAACTTCCAAGCTGCTCAGCTTAAACCCACCTGAAATTTTCCCGGAAAAGTCGAAGGAATTGCCCGAGAGGTTGAGAAATTTGACGCCAGAGCAGGATCCTAGGTTCGACAGGGTCGATAGAGGACCAGACAGAGCATTAACCGACAGATCCAAGGTGGTCAGCGAGACAGAGCACTTGAACCCAGAAATGGAGCCGGTGATATTCGTGTTGGACAGAAACAGAGACTCTAACCCATCAAGTGACATCAGATAAGAAGCCACGACGCTGAAACCGACGCTGAGGCGGACGGAGCTGAGGTCTATGGAAGAAACCCTGTCATCTCTGCAAGTCACGCCATGGAAGCTACAGGGACTTTGGTTTGGGAACCAGTTGGGAAGAACATTAGGGTCCGGAAGAGCAGATTTGAAGTTTATAAGCTGAAGGGTTTCTTTGTACGGAGACGAAGATGGAGACGGTGAGGCTTGAAGAGGGAGAGAGAAGAGAAATATCGTAGTTAGAGAGAGAAAGAAGGTGAAAAGTTTCGTCATTCTTGCCGTTTTACTAGAAAACAAGGCTAGGAGAAAAAGAGGAGATGGGGAGAAGAGAGGACCTAGGCGTCTGGTTCCGCCATTAGAGAGGGAGCGAAAGCTCTGGCTCTAGAGATAGAAAGCAGGGAACTTTACAAGTTCGGAGAGAGAGAGAGGAGAGTCAAAAGACAGAACAAGGAAGGTAGAAGACGGTATTTATCAAAGAAAATGGTGAGAGGAGTGGTCACAGCTGTGCCTTCACATGCCATGTTACCTCTCCCATCTGATTAAAAAAAACAAATCAAATTCAATTTCGATAATACAGACACGAAAATAATAATATTTAAATACAAATATGTTCAAAATACTAATTAAGACAGGAGGGTGCAATGATAAAATAATGCCATGGAAAACCCCTTAATCTCAAAGCTTACATTAAAATGAATGGTGTCTTTGTCTTTACATGAACGACGTTGAGGTGAGACTTAGAATTATTTAATTGACGCGAGATTAGAGCATGGGATCATACTTTTTACAATATTAATTTATATATTTGTTACCCCTACCGAAACCGATAATCGGTACGTGTTTATGTTACCATAAGCTATGGATGAATCATGATAAAATATTTTTTTAAAACAGATAAAATGTATGGATTTTTCGCCAAAATTCAAACAAAACTAAGTAAAACTCCAAAGTGTTGTATTCCAAATGGCAATATCAATGATATAGGTATTATTACTTTCTAAAACGATATCGTTTTGTTTTGAGTTTCCACGTTATTTTTAGTTAATGTTGTAGAATTTTTTTCCTACATATTTAAAGTTGTAGGTGGCCGGGTATTTTATTTGAAATTGTTTTTTTTTTTTGCGGTTTTCTTCAAAATTGCAAATATATTACGAAACCATGCACATCGTCAATTTCGCAACCAACGATACCATCTATTATTTACATGAACGAAAAAAGATACTTTAAAACTAATACCTGGAAATATTATTTTATAGTTTAATGGTACGTATGGTATATACTGAAAATCGTTTTATATTTAGAAACAGCGAGATCTAAGTCGAACCCAATATCAGCAGGTTTTTATAACATGCAACAATTTTGTTTTTGTTTTGAAGATTTCAAGGATTTGCGAATGTGAATGTGCGAAAAGTTAAATATTAGATTTTGGTGGTAATTATATTACTATTAATATTCATGGATTTCACACACACGCACCCGCCCCCCCCCCCCCTCTCTCTCTCTCTCTCTCTCTCTCTCTCTCTCTCTCTCTCTCTCTCTCTCTCTCTCTCTCTCTCTCTCTCAATGTGTCTGAAAAGGCGAGAAGGTTGTCTCTCTTGCTTTTTTGCAAGAGAGTGTACGTGCGAACGACGATTGGGACATGAGTGTCAATTAATGGCAGATTCCATCTCTCCCTCTCTTGTTAATATTATCATCGTCTCTCTCTCTCTCTCTCTCTCTCTCTCTCTCTCTCTCTCTCTCTCTCTCTCTCTCTCACTAAATAATAATAATCACTCTTTTTTCGTTCTTCGCATTTACGTGCCTTCTCTCTTTCACTTTTTCTCCCATTGATTTTGGCACCTACATAGACCAACCCTTTTTTTTTCTAAAGCTTTTCGAGATTTTTCTTTTGATTTTGGCACCTATAACACTCATGTAGTATATCATCATCATAATCCGAATATGATAATTCTCACGTCTGGTATGTGTAAAATAAATGTAATCATCGTTTGGAGATATATATTCCAAAGGTATATGGACGACAATTTAGTTGTGGTGGCATCTGTATGTAACGTTGAAAGAGAAACATTCCTCGTATCAATTACCGGTTCGAACACGTAGATTCTTTGGTTGATTTTATAGTATAATGTTATCTTGGAGAATATATATATATATTGTCATCAATATATGGAAAGATGCTTTACCTTACGTCATTATGCATTGTTCTTCCTAGTTGTTATGCGTTTTCCCCTTCATTCTTTTCTATGGTTTTATAGAGAACACGTATGAGGAATAATCTCCACATCACGCTCTAGGATCTAATTAAGTCATATCTTATTCGATAATATATATCTCGAAGAAATATGACATAAGTTTCCAATACTCTTAATTAATGTGATAAAGAAATAATTCCTTTGGAATATTACCAAGGTGAATAAAAAAGTTTAATTCATTTTTGTATTGCAGCCCAATTTATATATATATAAAAAATATATATATTCTACAATATCATCATAAATAATTAGGGTAAAACGCCAAAAGAGCAATGATACCAAATTCCAAAGGGACGAAAATGTCCTCAGAAAGTGATTAGGCGCTCGTGTGATAACCCTACGCTCTCTGATCGCGCGTGAGATACACATCACCACAAAATTCTGCCGTTTCGGAGGTATCAGTCAAGTGCCTGTCTCGTCTCACGCGCCGATTCGGGGAGTGTGATTGGCGCTCATCTCGTGACGGTCGTAAATGCTGCAGTGTTGTACGAGATGGCCCCATATTTCTGAATCAATATTAGCCGTTGATTGGATCTCAACGGTCAGGATCTCACCTGGTGAGTAAATGCTGATGTGCAAAAGCTGAATCCCCTTCCCTCCTTTTTTAACCTTTTGTTGTCTTCTTCAGTATCTATACAACACCTTATCATCAGTATCTACCATCTCATCAGTAAATCTAGTACTCCTCATGGAAAGTACCAAAATGCCCTCGATCCTGCGGCCTCTACGAGGGCAGGGAAGTAAATTACGAAAGCTTCAGGAGCTTCTTTTTATATATATATATATATATGTATCGACTGCAGTTTTTTTCAATTGTGAAAATATTAGAAGTGCAGAAATCAGGAACTTATACAAGAAAAAAGAAATACTGATGAGACAGTCATGCCGTCATACGCTCAAGTGGGCCCCACTTAACGATAATTTCACAAAATGGGCCCTAGTCGTCGATGGGCCTCTTTCTTTTCCTTCTTCCCCCCGAAGATTATATAAATAAAATGTACACTGAAATATATATACACACATATGGGAGGATTCGTGATTATCGTGATGACGATCAATGATGCGGGACCCACTTAGCTGAGAAACTACACGTGGTCGTGTCCAGGCTGATGACGTGGCAGAATTCCACACGTTGAGATGTCGTCTTTGGACATATAAAATTTCGTTGACATTTTTAGCGCACAAAATTTCATGGGCAACCGATACACCGCCGGATTATATCATTAAATAATTAATTTTATCGAATATATTCTAAATTGAATCAAAATATTGAATACATTCCTTGAAAATATTTCTATTTTGACACACTCTCTCTCTCTCTATATATATATATATTTTTTATGAAAGACTTTCTATATATTATCATAAAACTGTCGTTTTTCTACATTCTTAGAAACCAGCATATTATTTTACTATTCATATTCAGATTCTTTCTCATATATTTTTTTTCAATTGCTTTGCAATTCATTTTAACATAAATACCAAAATTACTTTGCTTTTAGTGGTCATTCTATGGTAACCGTAAAAGTTTATATTTCGTGTACATAGTAGCGACACTTGATATTTTCTTTGTTATTATTGATGTCACTTTGAATGTTTTATTAAAGAGTCCTAAAGCTATATAAAAATATACATTAATCTTTTATATAAGAAAAAGTGAACTCTATATGTATACAGGGGAAAGAATCAATGATTAGATAATAATAAGAAAGCGTGCGAAATTATTAGATGGTTTATTAGGAAATTAATGAAAGTGGGAGATAAGAGGGGACTATGTGGGTCATCACAACCTTTATGTTCCTTTGATTAAAAAACCCACCGTAATCACACAATAATTATACAGTAATCTATCGAGGGAGGAAAATCTAATCTAATGATGATAATATATATACATATATATATATATATACATATATATAAATATTTCTAGTTAGTCACCTTAATACAGCCGCCTGCAGCTGTATTTGGACCAAATTTTAAAAACATTGATCAATCATTGAATAAAACAAACGGTGTAAACAATAATTATTTATGTCATCACTCTATTCATGATTATACATTTTCCATCCCGTTACCCTTTGACCCACATATAATGATATGGAAATATACGTTCGCATTTTTATATTACTTGTTACATTTTCTTTTAGATTTTTTATCGTAATATTAAGAATTATATATTTTTTTTAAAAAAAGTTATCTATTTAAAATTTTTTGGACAATCAATAAAAATAATAAAATAAAATAATTATTTTATAAAATTAAACTAGGGAATGACAACCATATATTAAAAAAATAATGGATTGATTCCAGAAGTATTTTTTAAAAAAAATTATTTTTGGTGGTAATTAAGATTTGTATTGCAAGTGTTGTCATTTGCCAAACATGAATCGAGACTCCATGCATGAAGGATGAACGTTTTGGGCGCAATAAGCATCGCCTGTATTAACGGTAACATAAATGGAATATATATATATATATATATCGTCAATTTCGCAACCAACGATACCATCTATTATTTACATGAACGAAAAAAGATACTTTAAAACTAATACCTGGAAATATTATTTTATAGTTTAATGGTACGTATGGTATATACTGAAAATCGTTTTATATTTAGAAACAGCGAGATCTAAGTCGAACCCAATATCAGCAGGTTTTTATAACATGCAACAATTTTGTTTTTGTTTTGAAGATTTCAAGGATTTGCGAATGTGAATGTGCGAAAAGTTAAATATTAGATTTTGGTGGTAATTATATTACTATTAATATTCATGGATTTCACACACACGCAAACACACGCCCTCCCCCCTTCTCTCTCTCTCTCTCTCTCTCTCTCCTCTCTACTC